TGCACCAACATTTGATAATTTTGACTTCTCACACAATGACACCATCATTTGGCTATCTAAATTCTTCTACAAAATCTTTTGGACAATCTTGAAGTGCATTTGGATGTACCTAGTGCAATCATATTCTTATTATTTTCGTTTATTTATTAATTAATTAACAATTAAGATCAGTGTAACTGATAGATTTGAGTAACAAGAACCAGTGATCGAGTCAGATGCGAGACGTATTTGTTTATTAAGAATACTATGATATTATTGTTTTCGCTTGAATCATCCGGTTCAGAAGAATTAGTACTTTAATTCCAGCAATAAAGACCATAACTTAAAAAAGTTAAAAACTTGTGTTTATTTATTTTTGTTTTTCCGAAAATCTAAACTAAGATCAAAGTTCTTCAACAGCGGTTCTCTGTGACAAGACCTGTATGGTCTTCTTTGAGTATCCGCGTTCTTTATCTTAATTCTTTATTTTTTTGTAACGATTTTTTTGCATGTAAATTTTTCTTATTATATATTTGTAAATATTGTATTAAATATTGTAATAAAGAACAAAAAAAAATAAAAAAAAAAAAAAAAAAAAAAGCTTTTTTAAAATCTTTTCGTTTGTTAAAATATAATATATTGTTACATATGTTTGCATATAATCTCTATATGCAAACATATTCAAAAATATACAAAACTTCAAAAGTATTTTTGTATTTTAAAATAATCGAAAAAAAATTAAAAACAGATACTCTAGTGGTGGGACTCGAACCACGGGTTACATGTTCAGATGTACACGGTTTACATATTCAGATACGGTAAATCACAATATACTAATAAAAAAACTTGAAAACTACGAAATGAAAAATAAAAACCTACTTTGCTTTAAAGGGTATCTGACAAACCGAAAGCAATTTTTGTACTATGATCAAAATAACACAATTCCATATTCCATAATTTGCGGGGTTCTATTTTAGGATCATTCTTTTTTCTATTGCACATAAACGATTTATACTTAGCAACAAATCTTTTAGACCTAATTTTGTTTGCTGATGATTCCAATCTTTTTTGTTCTCACAGAGATATTAAAATAGTGAATAAACAGTTATGAAAAGTTAATGAATGGTTTGTTAGTAACAAGCTTTCACTAAATGTGGATAAAACAAAATATATACTTTTCAATAAACTAAATAAATCAGAAAACATTCCTCTTAAATTACCAAATCTTATAATTAATAATACTCATATTAAAAGGGAAGCATACGTAAACTTTTTAGGGTTAAAACTAGATGAAAATTTACTGTGGCGTTCACATAATAATAGTATTGAAATGATACTCTCAAAAAATATCGCAATGATGTTTAAGTCTAAACCTTTTCTAAATGTAACATCCCTGAGAAAATTATATTTTGCTTTTATTCACTGTTATTTGTCTTACTGTAATATTGTGTGCGCTAGTACTGGCTATACAAAACTTAAGAAAATTTACAATAAACAAAAACATGCGTACAGAATTTGTGTTTGGAGCCTGAAGAAATACTCCTTGCGCATTGTTCCTTGCGAACCACTTTTACATGCGCTCGGTGCTTTAAATGTGTATAAACATAACTTACACCAAATTTTATTGTGTATGTTTAAAATAAAAATGGGGTTGTTGCCAAAAATCTTTCAAATCCATTTAATTAAAATTAATCATAAATATTCAACTAAGTTTTCAGACAACTTAGTTGAATAATTATGATTAATTTTAACAACTTTTTTCCTATATGTAAGGGGCTCGGCGATAAGGCGAAATGTGTCTTCTTCTTGCTCCAGCCATTAATTTCGATAAATGTATATGCGATGTAAACATTTTTTAATTTTAAAGCTATATAATGATCTTTTTAACGGAAATAAATGCTATAAATCAAAATTAAGGAGAGTTTGACGCAATTCAATTTTCAAGTGAAAGTCAAACTGTAAAACTTGACAAATGTTTTAGTATGGTTTAACATTACTTAATTTGAAGTTTACATATGTTAAATATTTTCATACACTTTTGCTCACGTTTGCTTATAACAAAATGTACTACAATGCTTTCTCGCCACTAACTCGGTTGCAATGGCTGCCAAGGGTTCCGTGTCAAACACGCTCGGGCACTAATACTACTAGTAATAAGTTCAGCAATAATATATAGAGATTTTAGTTTTACTTAGATTTGTCTGAGAAGTTTCAAAAACTTAATTTCATTTAAGGTTCTTAAACTTTATTATAACCAATCATATATATGATTATTTAAATGATTGATATGAACCAATCATATATATTCAATCATATATATGATTGAAATTAAATATCCGTTAAAAAGACCTATGAATATTTTTAGAAGTCCAACTTTTGACCAATTATTAAACATGGTTTAGGTTAAGGCGGGGTGAATTCGTCACGGAGCGAATTCGTTAGTTTTAATATAATAATGCAAAAAAACTAAAAAATCTATTTATTAGGTTTTTTCGAAACTTTTTTAACTGATATTTGTAGAATATTATTAAATAAAGGTTTTCTATATTTTCCTTCGATTATTCTTTAAATATTGCGATTATTCTTTTAAAAATTGAAGTTGAAAAAATTTTTTGCTGCTTAAATGCCTATCGTCGAAAAATAATCAAAAGACGCAATGTTTTGACCACAAAGTATTTTTTTTTTTCGATAGATCTATGTCTTTATTTTTACAATATCAATTTAAGTAGCTATGTTATTTCTTTTCGAATTGTCACGTAATAGTTGTTACCACGTGCTCAAATGAGGGACAACTTTGTCGTTAAAGAAAAGATTTTAATTAAAATAAATTTGGATCTTTGATCACGCAAATTTTAAAACTACGATAGGCAGTTAGAAAGAAAAATCAAGTTGTGCTCAAAATACACCTCAAAGCTTTAAATTTAATCTATAAGATTAAATTTAATCTCTATAAGATATAGGCTTTTCAGAATATATTAGTTTACAGTTAGCTTTTAAAAATTTTTGAAGTTTATTTATGAACGCGACTCTTTTGTGAAACATGTAATTATAATGTCTAAAATATTATATAGTCTAAAATGTATACATTGTAAATAATAAGTATATAAAATTTGATTTATAATTGTGATGAGAGCGGCTTTTCATCTGTGCAAAGAGGTTTTGTATAAAGGGATTTCGTGACGTACAAAAGTTAACTATTAGTGAATGTGGCACACAACCAACATACCTAGCCATTGTCAATGCAGCAGAAGAAAGCTTACCACCATTTTTCATATTTAAGGGAACAAAGGTTCCAGATGAATTTAAATTTTCTTTGGGTACAAAAGTACATTGCAGTAAAAACGGATATATTGATCAAGAGATGTTTATTGACTTTTTACATCATGAGTTTCTTACAAAAGTGGATGGGAAAAAGTATTGTTATTTTTGGATAATTAATTTTTGAAGCACTTAAATTAGCAATAGAAATGGATTTTGAAATAATGTACATTTCACCTCATAGTACACATCAGCTTCAACCACTTGACACACATGTTAATAAAGCAGTTAAACATGTGGTCTTAGGCCGTGTCTAATGACTTAGCTGAAAATGATTATAATTTTATGCCTCGTTGAAACTTTCACATTGTTTTTAACAAAATATGCCCCTACATACGTACAAAAAAAAAGAATTGATTGTTAATGCGTTTTACCATTGCGGTTTGCATCCCCTAAGAAATACAGTGAATGACTTCGAATGCAAATAAAAAAGAGGTGTTTAGTAAAACAAAAATTTATCTGGGAGACCCAAATTTATCTACTTTAAAGACTATTGTACTTTCTCACTCAAAACGCCATTGCATCTTACTGCATCAGCAGATAATGTTAAGTTTATAAATGTACCTCCTGCCAAAAAATCTCCAATAAAATATGTGGTCAGTGTTAAACAGAAGTAAAAAAAAAAGGTAAATGAGTCAAAACAAAAACAAAGCTTATTTTTCAGCTCATTCTGATCACCCAGGTTTTGTTCTTAAAAAAAAACACTGATAAAGAACTGTGATGCGTTTGTGCAGCTGTTTGGGCAAACTGTTTTGGGCAAACAAAAAAAAGCAAATGAAGATTGGCTTAATTGTTTAAACTGCAGTCAGTGGGCGTGTGAAGGATGTTTTGGAGTTAATACATATGCAAATTGTGTGCAAAGGACATATAAATATCTTGTAAATTCTTTAATAGCCATAGTATAATTTTTGATTATTTGATGTAATGTGCTATTTTGTGCGCTAGCGCGATTAGACGGTTTTCATTTGTGCCAATATCATTATTTGATATTTTCTAGAAAAAGTTTAACAATTGACGTCCTTTTAGATGTTTTAGAAATCAGGAAATTGACATTCAGTAATTCTACCTTGTCGTTATTTGAAGGTAATTCTATTTGTAGCTGTCTGTAGGCTATCAGTAGTTCTATCTACATCACTCAGGGGTTTACTATTCTAGATTAAGAAAATCATTCTACTTTTACGTCAAAAATAATGGTTTGTATCAAAGTTTTTTTTGTCCTAGGTAAGCTGTCTTTACGACTAGTATGGAATTTTGTCTATCGCACAAGTGATATATTTTTCAATTCGTTTTGTTATACTGATGAATTCGCCCCGTAATTGACGAATTCGCCCCTCATGACTTGATAATGAAAAAATTAAGTTCTAGGCAAAATTAACTTTAGAATTTATTTTGACTCAATACATTAACAAAGTAGAAATCTTAATTAATAAAAAAACGCTTTTAAACTAGAAATTTTACTTATTTATATGCAAGTTCATTTTGTTAAAGTAAAACATGACAAATTTGCCCCGCCTTACCCTAAATAATTTTTTATTATTTTTAGTTAAATCAAAAAATATATGACGTAGAGTAAAAATGTAAAATGAAGAAATACTTTAATACTGAATTCATTCAATGAGTTTTTCAAATTATTTATAAACTTTACATTAAAAATGAAACTAAGATTTTCAGCACAACAAAATTTAAATCTACAGAAACCGCTTGAAGCACATCAAGTCTGTAATAGAATTTTAAAATAAAAGAGTTTTTAAAATAAAAGAGATTTAAATTGATTATTTTTAAGCATTTTAAAAAATAAGGTAATTTATAAATTTATTTGCAAAGTATATTGTACTAAATATAACAAATTGTATATATATATATATATATATATATATATATATATATATATATATATATATATATATATATATATATATATATATATATATATATATATATATATATATATATATATATATATATATATATATATATATATATATATATATATATATGTATATATATATATATATATATATATATATATATATGCGTGTGTGTGCGTGTATATATATAAACTAATATTTTTCTTTAGATGAATGGATTGTTTTTGATGATCTGTTATGCTAACTATGTAATATCTCAAAATGCGTCAGGTAGTACTTATATTAGATGATGCCTGTGTGCGCGCGTTTATGCCAGTTTTTATCTATATATATATTAGACCCCGCAACTTCCGCAATATTTTTGATTTTTTAAAGTCGTCATTTGATTTCTAGTGTCTTTTCATGCGTACATAGAGAAAAGTATATAAATTATTGTAAAAACATTTTTTTACTTGTTCCGCCCAGTCTTTTGAAGTTTTAATGCATATCTTGTTTTTATTAATCAGTGATCGCGGAACCGGGGAATTATGGGTTCTTAAGACCCCCACTTTTTCCAAGTTTTTAAAAAAACATAACATACAACCAGTGTATATTATATATTTTTTTTAAATTTAGTCGAATGGGATGCCTTTGCGCATATATTATTTGGCTCTTAAACTGAAAAAATACAAATATTTAACCAGCTTGTGTTACTTGCAATTGTATTAAACAAGACACTGTTAACGGGTTTAAAAAGACAATGTTTTTTAAAAAAAATATTTTTTTGCAGTCAGGCCCGTAGGAACAAAAATTATATTGGGGGAGGTAAGCACTAGATTAGGGGACCCTGAAATAGTTTTAAGGACCTTTTTTTTTGGTCATTTCTTTATTCAGTTTTTTAAAAATTGTTTATTTAAAATATTATTGCGGGAGGAGGGGGGGCAAACGCCTCTACTGCCCCCCGGTTGCAACGGACCTGCTGCAGTAGTCTGGATTGTTTCACACCAATCAAAAATTATGTTTATTCTTATGAGATGGAGTTCATAGAGGTCGGGTGAACTCCAAATAACGGCTAATCTTTCTACATTTTTATTTTGTGTAAGAACATCTGAAATCTTTTTGGCGCCAATTGAAGCGTCAGAGATGACTAGCTTCAGACATAAAAGTTTACTCTATTTTAATTCCTTTTTCCAGTAAAATCATTTTGATATACCTTCTTAATAAAAGAAGTTTCTTGATAAAAGAAGAGTTGTACTTGATAAAAGTTTTCCTGTACTTACGCTGGTTTAGGGGAAAAGGAAGTTACCTAAAAGTGTACGAATGTGTACAAGGGGGAGAAGGTATGCACGCTTTTTCAGGGTTATGATATTTTTGAATATGTTGTGGCCATACTTCTATAACCTGAGGAATGTTGAGTAATTGATAAAAAACTGATTTATTGATTGTCTAGTTGCAAAAATATTGCAAAAGTTAATATAATTTTTAATATATTACATGAGAACATGTAAAAGCTTATCTCCCTCTCATTCATAAACAGCCACAAAAATAAATAAAAATAACTGTAAATTATATTTAGTGTTTAAAAACTACAAGTCACCTAAGTGGATCAATAAAAGTAATTATTTTCTGCAAGTTAGTTAAATGCTTCACATGTCATTCTTTCCTATAAGTTTCACATTTGCTTTTTTTTTTTTTTTTGAGCTTTTAAGGATATCGTCCATCAATTTAACACCACGTTCAGCAATGATGCTTGTCCTTGGAATATGATGTGCACTATCTACTTTGCTCTAGTGTTTCATAAAGCACTTTAAAGCAGCTGTACACTTAATTTCAGTCAATGCATCTAGCATATGTTCACATAATTTATCATCAAATAATTGTTTGCTGAACCAAAGTTTTTTCCAAGGATTTGTAATAAAGGTTTCTGCACTTTCAAGTTTACACCTCCATATTGGTTTGAAAAAATAAGCAAAAGGACATATATTGCTCTAGATTTCCATCTTGCACTGTGCAACGGAGGGAGCTTATGCCACTTGATATTTGATAATCTTTTTTGATTCTTGAAGTAACAAAAAGCTTCACATAACTCATAAAGGAACTTGAAGTTATCTAGCCATCCTAGGTTTATGTAAAAATTAAGCTCAGCTTCATATGTATAATTTTTCTAAAGATTTTCATAATTTTTGGTTAAATAATTTACAAATTTATAACCAGGAGTTATTGATTTATAAAATGATCCAAAACATGTTTTAAAATGAGATTTTTCATGCATCAAAATCATCTAGAAATTTTTTTAGAGCTTGAAAAATATCATGGGACTTTCCACTTTCACATTTAACAGTTCCGAAATTGTTTTATTATTTCCATTTAGAAGTATCGCAACTTGGTATTTAGTCTTGTTTATTTTCTTTTCATCAAAATGTAGGCAGAAATGTTCTTATTATACTAATTTTGTAATAATTTTCTTCTTTCTTTTTCCTTGTTTTATAGCTGATCTCCATATTTCTGTCTGACTTGGAGTTTCTATTTCAATACCTTTTTCCATATAACTTTTTACATATTTCAGTTAATTTATTTGTACTTAAAGGTTCAGTTATGACAAGATTAGATGTTAACTTGGTTATTGTATATTCTCTTTCTTGATTTTTTAATTTTCACTGGTTTGTAATTGTCTCGTGAATCTAAGTCTGAACCACCTTCTTCTGATGCAGTTGAACTGCTAACTGAAAAATCTTTTGTATTACAAACTCTGACTTTTAAAAGATGCGATGACACTTGTGTATTAGTACTGTGACTAACTTCTCCTGAACTTAATAATTGTATGTTATAAAAAGCCCTCAATATTGGTGATACCAAAAAGATCTCCAAAAACAGAGCATTCTTCCTTTTCGCCAGGCTTTTTAAGATACTTGTTACGTTTTTCTATAACCTTTTCAAATTTTTTTTCCTCTGATTTTTTAGAAATACTTGGAAAATTGAGTTTGTGCCATAATTTACATATTTCTACATCAACTAACTTTACTCTTTCTTTTCTGCTTTTTTCATCCAATAACAAAAGTTTTTTTCAACATTCTGTGAAATGAATCTAATCTTTTTATAATAAAAGGTAACCAATTCTTGATGTTATACGTTTTTCAAATGAAACTAAATTTTTTGTTCATACTCTTGAATATTTGTCAACAATAGTTTTGCTATATTTATTTGACATATTAGAAAAATCTAAAATGTGGGCGGGGGACATTTTTTAACTATATTCGATATTACAATGAAATTTTAATATTAACTATTAATTTTTCAGGTTTTTAAACAATGGTCAATTAAAAGTGTGACTAAAGTTAAAAAAATCACAACCCTAATGCACGCGGTTTGACTATCTACAGTTGTCTATTTTTCCCAAAACCTGCAGATAAATGTCAAATTACCCAAACACGTATAAATCTATTAAAATGTTCTTGAGTTAATCAAGGACGTATTAATAGATGGAACATCTAAAGGAGAAATTTATAATAGAAAGAACATCTAAAGGAGAAATGTCAAAAAGATTTAAAAATTTTTCCCGAATTTTTTCCTGAAATATAATGCGTGATTTTTCTTATTCAGTAGACGCTTTACTTTTGCTTCATAGTAATCTAGCTCTACAATTTTGCAATGCCAGTACGTTATTCCTAAATAATATTGTAAAATTATAGTAATGTAAATTAATAACACTTTGCACAATGGCTTTCTAAAGTATTTTCTTTTGTATTTAAACAAGTATCTCGAAATATTTATTATTAAAAACACGCTGTGATTAGTAATTAGTTTTAAAACACCTTTCGTCTGCATCTTTACAAAATCTGCATCCTTCGTCGCAAATTCAGAGATTGTATCTTCTTGGTCAAAGGAATCCAATACCCGGTTTTTTATTTGAATAATAGAAAGATCTAAAAGACGTTCATGACCTATTAAAAATTGAATGAATAGAACATTATATGTAACTTTTAAAAATTGTAAAATATATGTCTGCTATTAATTAAGTTTCTTATTGTTAAAGAGATATTCAATAAAAAGCTCTTTATATTCTAAGTATTTTTTATGTTGTATAAATATCTGTAGTTGAGCGATGAACACTTTTGGTCATTGTTGAAAATGAATGTTCTCAAGAACAGATCATTGCAGCGGTGGAAAAGAAGACTTGAATTATATCTAACTTTAAAAAATTTACAGCTAAAGGTTTTTGTTTGCCGTTTTCATCGTTTATTTTGGAAAAAAAGCTCCAAAATAAAGATCATTCAATAAGTACAATTCGGAGATCACGTGCAGTGCACAATAATAAGTTATTGAGCACTGCACGTGATCTTCAAAATATCCATGCTGTAAAGATTCACAAGAAAACTAAGCAAAACACAGTCCAAATAATTCTTACTTTCTTTTTTATCTAGATCACTCTTTAGTTTTTTCGTGATCTTACTTACGTCAGTAATCATTTTGGACTGCCCAGAAAACACTCTAGCTTCCACACTTTTAATTTCATTGCAATGCTTCTTGTGTGCTATTGTGGACCTTTGATCGTAGACATATTCACCAGTTTCAATCAAAGACATGACTTTCTTTTCATATTTCTCGAAATTGGAGTGACCTTGGTGCACGTAATTTCTCGGTACTTGTACAGTTCTTTAACCATAAATAAATCAAGCTTTACGGAAGGCTGTTTTTTTTAATCTTGTTGATCCTTTCCACGGTTCTCTTATAATAGATTTAAATTTATAAAATAGATTGTTGAAATAGCTGTCTCAAGTTGTTCCATTTTGTTCAAAAGTCTGAAGAACTCTGCTCTTGTTTTTGCTTTCTGAGTAGGGTTGTCGTTAAGATTAAGAAGAGCAGCTTATATAGAAAATATTTGTTAATAAGTATGCACATCTCAAAAGAAATATATTTTTAATTGATTTCCTAAATAATTCTTCATTAGCTTTTTAGTATGACTGACCACGGCAATTTTGAATAATAATCCCATACAAAATTAACCGTTTTAAAACAATTTCAACCATAAACACTGCATAATGACTATGCATGGGAATGAATGCTAATGACCGCTCAACATGTTCTCCGTTTTGTAAAACGTAACGCAGAACAAAGCAGAACCGGTTAATGTTTTATCGGCAGTAGAACCAACAATGATTGAAAATTTTTTTGCAAACTTATTTCGTTAATTTAAAAATTATGTTTGAAGTAAATAAAAAATGTACACTGTAACGTTACTTAAGGTTGATCATATAACCTATAAATTACAACACCTCATCGGCTATCAAGCG